GGGATTCAATTTGTTTTTATTTATTTATCTCGTAATTAAGATATTAAATTATTATCATTCAGAGGTCAGGTCAAGAGATACCGAGGGAAACCCTCGGCTAACAAAGATATAGGACTCAAGAAACGACGTTTCAATTTGCACATTTCTGTAGATATGTGTTCAAACTAAAGCGTCACAGTTTTTTTAACATAAAATCTAAAAAATGAGTAGTATTAGGTAATATGATAAATTTGTTAACTATTTAGAAGAAATTAATCTTATAAAATACTACTAAGCATAAGTGTATTATATAATATTACAAATATAAAAAGAAACAAATAAATAAAATCTAACTAGAATGGTTTAATTAGCCAATTACACAATTAAAGTTTTAGTCTCATATATTCTCTAAACTAACGTATAGAGAACAAGGAAACAAAAACGCAAGGTCACATCCAGTCAACTATATACATTGATAACGTCTCCGGGACTTTTTCGCTCCCCAATCATACGTATATTAGGCTGGACCAAGCACACAGCATCCATTCGCATCTTAGTTACGAGAGTTCTCACATATAAAAAATAAAAATGTTTTTCAAAACTTTGATCTTTGCCGCTTTATTGGCCGGCATTAACTGTAGATACATTCTAATTGACGAAGATTATTTGCCTGAATTAATTGAGCATTCACGAGTAAGGAGACAAGTGCAGGTGGGAGCTGGTCTTGATAATAAGGGGAACTGGGACTTGGCAGGAAAAGTGCCGCTTGCGAAGTCTGATACTAACATTCTCAGACGAGAAGTTACAATGGGGACCTCATATCACATCTCTTGCGGGGCGGCTGAGCTCAGCCGTTTATGCGGTTAGAAAGATAAGATATTTAACCAATGTAGAAACTGCGCGTTTGGTCTATTTTAGCTACTTTCACAGCATAATGTCTTACGGCATTTTACTGTGGGGTCGGGCTGCTGACATAGAATCCATTTTTATTTTGCAAAAGAGAGCGGTCAGAGCCATTTATAATCTACGTCGTTGCGAATCTCTCAGGGAACTATTTAAAAAGATTAATATTATGACAGTACCTTGCCAATTCATTTATGAAAATATTATGTATGTAAGAAAGAATCTACATCTTTTTAGTAAAATAAATGAAAGACATAATTTTAGTACTAGAAATAAAGATAAAATAGCTCAACCATCTTTCAGATTAGCCAAAGTTCAAAATTCATTTATGGGGTACTGTGTGAAATGTTACAATAAAATACCTTGTGACATTTTAAAACTAAATGAACGAAAATTTAAATGTTTTATTAAAAGTACACTTTGTAAACAAGCATATTACAAATTAGATGATTATATTCAAGATAAGAATGCTTGGAAACATGCTGGTCCTGCTCCATAGGACAATCCTATGATTGGCTCTATAGCCTGGACAAAATCAAATTGGTTGCTGATTTTTTGCTTTAACATATTTTTGTTATTATTATTTTTTTTTTAAATTTATATAATGCTACAAATGTAATTATTTTTTTGTATCTCACACACTGTTTTGTTGTGTTTTTTTAATATTTTTATTACTCTTTAATGTTAATATTCTAAGGTTTCGATATTTGTAAATATGTGAGGAACATGTATACTAACTTTTTTAGTATAGTAGTTTATTCTAAGAGTCTTCACATATAATTATTTAACAAATGTAACAAAATATTGTAAACCTATTTTAAAAGAGTAAGTGTGGAGTTTCTTGCCCATTCGTCTCCACACGAAACTACCTTTTGGAAGGGGCAACTAGAATCATCTTTATATTTTTTTTTTTTTGACGTTCAAAAGTGCCATTTTAGATGGTCTAATTGAAATAAACGATTTGACTTTGACTTTGACTCAGTGCAACTGGTATGGCTACGATGGACCCTAGCCACAAGCTGACCTCTTATGGAGCTGGTGTGGCTTTGGATAATATGTAAGTGTTATAAATTTATCTATAGATAGTACTCGCTAATAAATGCTTAGTGCAACGGGCGGCCTTAGCGCAATCTATTCCAGGCAAAACCACAGGTACGAAGACATAATGTAAGGGTTATTAATAATTTAAATTGTTTCTTGTAGAGTTTATCTTTTGACGGTTTTAATTCATAAATTCGTTTCTTAGATTTAGTATTAAGTAATATGTCTAGTATTAATGTATCAGCCCCTCCGACTCGTTAAGTAAAATATACGCGAATCATCCTAGTTTATTGTTAAGTTTTGAATATTCTAAAATATCCTTTTTGCGAACGAGAGGTAACACTAAACTAAATTTTTATAAAGCTGACTATGTGTCTATAATAGGGGATCTGAAAACCATTGATTGGAATGATAGCCTACGCGCTCATTATAATGTTAATGATATGGTATCTAAGTTCTACAAAATTCTTAACACCACTATAAGCAAATTTGTACCTAATACGACCATCACGAAATCTAAGTATCCGGTGTGGTTCAGTTCTTCCTTAATAAAATTACTTGCTGAAAAAGAAAAAACACGTAAGAGGTATCGAATATACAAGAATCCTCGAGACGAAATAGAGTATCACATTATTAGAAAACGTTGTCACAAACTTTATGATGATTGCTACACTAAATATAAGCGAAATATTGAGGCAAGTATTCCTAATAATCCTAAATGTTTTTGGAGTTTTATTAAAAATAGGAAAGGTGGTCACTCATCGCTTCCCTCTTGCATGAAAATGGACAATGTTACAGCCCAGTCTTCACCTGATATTGCTAATCTTTTTTCATATCAATTTTCATCTGTATATACTTGTGATGAATCACTTGTTGGCAGTTCCACTCCAGACGACATTGGCAATGTTGACGGCCTAATGTCCCTTAGCTTTAGAGAGGATGAAATATCTAAGAAAATAAAAGGTCTTGATATTAACAAAGGAGCTGGGCCAGACTCGATTCCTCCTATCTTTGTAAAACGATGTAGATTTGTGTTATCTTTGCCCCTAACTATTATTTATAATAGATCTCTTAAAGATGGTGTTTTTCCTGAAATATGGAAAAGGTCTCGTGTTGTACCTGTGTATAAAAGGGAGATATCACCGACGTAAAAAATTACCGTCCTGTTTGTATTTTATCTTGTTTTTCCAAGCTCTTTGAGTCTGTCCTGTATCCCGTAATCTCCAAATGTTTAGACGGCTGTATCATTGATGAGCAACATGGTTTCAGAAAAGGCCGTTCAATTCAAACAAACCTCATGTTTTTTGTTACTGAAACATGTCAGGAATTAGATCGTGGGCGCCAGATTGATGCCATATATACTGACTTTAGCAATGCCTTTGACAAAGTCAGTCACGCGTTACTGATTCAGAAGCTTCGTGGTTATGGAATGGGAGAGAATTTGCTAAACTGGTTTAGGTCCTATCTTCGTAACAGGCCTCAGTCAGTAGTTGTTGGAGGCGCTGAGTCTACTCCCTATATTGCGCGATCTGGTGTACCGCAAGGATCTCATTTGGGACCGTTGCTATTCTTACTATTTGTAAACGACGTTAAGAATCATATAAAGCACTGTAAAGCGTCTCTCTTCGCTGATGATTTAAAAATTTATTAAGTTATTAACACTGTCTGTGATGCTGCTCTAGTTCAAAGTGATCTTAATGGTATACAACATTGGTGCTTTTTAAATGGTATGATCCTCAATATAAATAAGTGTTTTCATATTAAATACACAAAAAAAAAAAAAAAACACTTGTTACTGTGTATAAGCTTGACGGCGCGCCATTGAAGGAGGTTCAGGAGATTCGTGACTTGGGTGTTATTATTGACAAAAAATTAACGTTTACATCGCAGGTCAATAAAGTAGTCACCACATCCGCACGAATGCTTGGATTTCTTAAACGGAATGCGGATTGTTTTGGTTGTACGACTAAAACAATTTTGTACAACGCTCTGGTGCGCAGTCATGTTGAGTTTGGTAGTATTATATGGAATCCACTATATGCGATACATTCGCAACGCGTTGAAAGCATACAAAGATCTTTTACGCGACACCTAGCTTTCATAAGCAGAGGATTTTCACATAGACAACCGTACCATCAGCGACTTAAAAAATTTAATATGTTATCTCTTAACAATCGGAGAGCTCTAGCCGGTGTTACATTCTTGTATAAATTGCTCAACAACCATTTACAGAACAGTGACCTTTTACAGGAAATCAAATTTGTCGTCCCTTACTCATTCCCTAGGTTTAAAATTAACAATATATTCCAAATTCCATCTGCCAAAACCAACCTAGGAGTTCAGGCACCTCTCGTTCGAATTCTTCGCGATTTCAACAAATTGAACACAGCGTATCCAGAGCTGGATATATTCGGTAGTGGGCTGATCGGTTTTAGAGAAAGCATTGTGGGGTGCCTTTCTAGAACCTAATTTCGCTGTTTTTCTGATGATTTTTCTTTTTTTTCTGCACATAGTTGTTGAAAATTTTATTTTATTTTATTTTATGTTTATGTTAAAAAAAAAATTATTTTATTTTAATGTGTGCTTGCATTGTCGTGTGTGTTTTAGTTGTGTTTTTTTTTTAAATTTCTATTTGATTTTATTACTGAGAAACTTATGCTTGCATTAACTGTCACACATTTTAGATGTGGGATTTTGTGAAATAGTTGGTGGACTTATGACTGTGTGTGATGTTGTGGGCTTTATAACTAAATAAATAAATAAATAAATAAATAAATAAAAATAAATTATTTTTTAAACTCTGTAGTAAAACACTTGTCCCAGTCTTTCATAACCTAAACATGATTTGCCAGAAAGAGACATAAGATTACTCTAGATCACTCAGGTATTACGAATTGGACGATTACTATACTCTTTATATAGCTTCAAATTGAACTTTTTTAGAAATGGCCACGGTCTCAGCCTGTCTGGCAGACAGATCCCAGACTTCGGGAAGCAATTGACAGCTGCAGCCAACTTGAATGTTCTCAATACACCTGACCACAATTTGAACGCGAATGCGTTTTGTTACAGAGAACATGCCAAGTATACCGAATGTACCAAACTTCAACACCTACGGCGCAGGCGCGGATTACATGTATAAGTGAGTAACATTTTAACATTTTGATACAATTCGTTTGGTAATTTACGTTAGTCATAGCTTAACCTGTGATGAAAATTATTAAAATTAAATTAGTTGCGATGGTTTATAATGTGTTCTTTTGTAATATTTATTTATAAAGTTTATTAGATTTATGCTCTTATAATCGTAAATAATGTTTCAGGAACACACTTGGAGCTTCACTAGGCGCAGAACGCACTGATTTCCTTCAAAAGACTGATGTATCTGCGATGGGAAAACTAAATCTCTTCAAGACGCCTAGCTCTTCACTCGATTTCGGCGCAGGTGCAACGCGATCCTTTTCTCCCTTCATACCAAAGAGCAGCTGGGAACCGGCGTTTAAGTTTAACTTTATGAAATCATTTTAAATAGTTAAAAACTTTAGCTAAGTATTAGTATTATAGATTTTGTGTTATGTTTCGGCCATATCCTTTCATTTTATTGTATAGTTTTCGACGTGGCGTTATTATATACGTACAGTGGCGACATTTTACATACAACGCCAAAATGTATTTATTTGTAAACTTTTCTTATAAGTATTTTAAAATTAGATTATTAATAACATGTCTTAGCCTATCTAGCCTAGTTTCAGTGACAAATAAAAAATATAAATTTTATATTACAGTTTATTTTTTATCTACATACCTTTAACAGCGAATCTTAATGTTTATTTATTTATTAATGCATTTTATTAAACCACATCATTCGTATACTTAGTACTAAACTTACGGTATAAGTTACAAACTCTTTTATCTAAAATGTATGACAATTTAGGTAAACATTTATGTTCCTAAAAACACCAGAATTTTTTATTAATCACAAAAACAAAATTACCGGCGAAACAGGGGATTAGGTTCGAGATAGGCACTTAACAATGCTTTATTTAAAACCGATCAGCCCACTACCGAATATATCCATCTCCGGATAAGTTCTGTTTAATCCATTAAAATCGCGTAGAATTCGATCTCTTTCGATTGTTGCATTTGTTTGTAAATCGAGATCAGAATCAAGATTTAAAATTAAATGTATGAGCGTACCAATTCTTAAAAGACCGGCAGCGCGCTTGCGAGCCTTCTGGCAGTGCGAGTGTCCATGGGCGGCGGTATCACTTAACATCAGGTGAGCCTCCTGCCCGTTTGCCTCCTGTAACTTAAATTTAAACAACATAGAATTAATATTTCAATTTAAAAATAAAGTTTTCAAATTGTATTATTACCGTAATTTGATTGCCGATTTGTTGATATTTTTTATTGACTTAATCCTAATTAATATATTTAAATATTAATTTAGGTATCCAGTGAATTTCTTCACCAATACTTATTAAAATTAGAAATTGAGAAGAAATGTTTGAGTTTCATTGAGTAAAGCTTTATAAATGACTCTAGCATACTCTTTTACAGATAAATTCGTTTAGTTTATTTAATTTTGTTTCCTACAATAAAATTCACAAAACAGAGTGCAACTTTACATGAAATACAATCTAGCCTATACAATAATTATAGCTAGTAAGTAATTATATGTTGACTTAAATTTCTACAATACTAATGAATAGCTTAAACTAAGGTAATGTTCATTAACAGTCGTAGTGTTCTATAATCTTATGACACTATGTTCGTGTGTACGAGATACCGCACTTCCACATATAGTAAAAGTAAAAAAAAGTAAAAAATCATTTAATCATATAGGTAACATAATGTACACTTATGACTCGTCAGTAAATAAATATATATTAATGCTTCTAATTTTACATTTACTGCCAGTTCTCAAATCAAGGGCGTAGAACGGAAGAGAAGAACTGGCAATAAACTCTCCGCCACTCTTTTTAATCGCCATTTTTTTACACAACGTTTGTAAGGAGCTGCAACCATTACACCATGTTCCACATGACATTTTAAGTAATTAATAATAATAACATACATTAAAAAAAAACAAAGACTCGTCCGCTATCAGCAGGAGGCATGGTATATTCACACTACACTACACCAGTGTCAAAATATAAATAGTACATTTAAAATCTTAGACTAAAATTAGCTCAAAGGTTTACCTAAATGTAACCAAGTTAGAATACACAAAATGTAGGTCAAACTGTAAAATCAACGTTAGTTTCACGAGCAATAGTTAATTTTAGTTTAGTTTACAGTTCACTTTGGTCTTGATGAATCTATATAACTGTCTGGAATGAAATAATACTCAAAATTTAATTATTATTGAACTAAAGTTAGATAGAGTACAGATAATATAGTGTATTTTTCTCTATATAAACCTCAGTTCAAGTCATAAGTATAATTAAAAGAATTAACAAATAAAAATTAGGGGTTGGTTGTAGAGGGATGCATGCAGATGCATTTTTGTATGCTGTATCATAAAAAATAAAAACAAAAAAATTGTGTAAAAAATAAAATTTAGGGGTAATTAATTAAATTAAATTAATGTATATTTCTTTTTTGACGTTCATAAGTGTACATTGTGTTACCTAATGAATAAATGATTGTTGACTTTGACTGATTGATTCTTTTTGAAATTTTATACAAAAATGTACCAATCGATATCGCAATTATTACAGAGTAGTGCCGCTGGAATACACAATCTTGTGGACTGTGGAGGAAGGAAGTTGTGTTCTTCCTCACCCTTAAAGGTGAGTCAGTCCACGCCAAATTCCTGATGTCGTGGTATTTGTATACTCGTACCCTCAGCGATTGTAAATACTTAGAGCGATTCGGTGTGTGACATCATAATTGTGATTGTTGCTAGATTGTCACAGCTAAGCGCAAACTAAAATAGTTATCTTCTAGATGATTAATCATCTCAGTAAGGTGAAGCTACACGTCAGTAAAGAAGCTTGCGATATAATTTGTAAAGTTCTTAATGAAATAGGGAGTTAGCTCGGCTCGGAGTTTATGAAAATAGATTAGGGTTAGGGCACACTGGAGACGTAAAACTGTGATGATTAAAAGATTAGTTATCTTTTCATTAATTATTTCAGGATTCTCAAAGCATCAGCCAGCATCGGAATACAGGGCCTTGATGTATCGAATAATGTTCAGTTTCGAGGTCATTTGGAAGGAAATACTAAATTAGTCTCTAAGAAGCTTAGTGTGCTTAGCAAGGCAAGACTACACTTCATTCCAGCCCACCGTTTGCAACACTATAAAGCGCAATACAACCCCACATAGAGTAATGTTCTCACCCTTTGGGGGGAGCTCCCTAGTACCAGCTCCTTTCACTTGACCGTATTTAACGAAGAGGGAATTGTCGACGACCGACTTGTCGACTGAATTGTCACTTACCGAGCGGCTTGATCTCTTGGCGCTGCGAGTTTTCAGAGGAAGATTTGAAAACTCGCAGCGTCCATGGACACTCACATAGCCAGAAAGCTCGCAAGTGCGTTGCCGGCCTTTTAATTCGTCTTAAATAGGTGTATCTTTTTCCTTCGCCTTATAATCATTGACTAGATGTCCTTATGTGTACTAGATATAATTTATCTAGCTCATCCATCTATCAATATCCAACTCATAATAATAAGAACAATAACTTAAACCTTAACATAATATATATATCAACAGGCCTACAAAAAAAAATTTTTTTTTTGGTGCAGCTCCTTTTGTATATATTGTCGATAAAATAGGTAATGTACAATATATTGGCATACGTCATTTTAACTCATCGGCTCTAGTTTACCCACTACCCTTCTTTTATTTTTTTTCCCGCCTTGGTCGTAAATAGTGATTATTACATTCATATCGATAAAGTTTCTATTACTAATTCAATATGACTAGTACGTCCAGATGTTGTGTTAACGATTCTGATACTTTTTGCTATGTTTGTGATCAATACATACTGAAAGATCAGCGTGTAACGATGACAAACACTGTGAATCGTTTGTATTTTGCTTATTTTGATTATTTTGATTTTGAAATTCAGCACCAATATAAAGTGTGGGTGCCACATGATGTGTGCACAATATGCGTTGAGCGTCTACGACAGTGGGAGAAAGGCTCACGTAAGTCTTTAAAGTTTGGAATGCCTATGACATGGCGAGAACAAAAAAAACATTATGGCGACTGTTACTTTTGTATGACAAATATAGTGGGCAACAACAAAAAAAATCTATATCTATATAAAGATACCCTAAAGATACCCATGGAAATACCCTAAATTTCCCTCAGCACAAAGACCTATTCTTCATCCAGAAAATGTTCCAGTACCAGCTTTTCACCAGGTAGTGCAGCAATCTCAGGAGGATCAATCTGAAATACCTTATTCTTCCCAAATAGATGACGAATTTGAATACTGCGGGAAATCATCAAATCCTAACCCATTTTAAGAGAATGAGCTGAATGACCTCATCAAAGAATTAGGGCTTTTGATGAAACGTGCTGAGTTACTAGCTTCAAGATTAAAAGAAAAAAAATGCCTTTCTTCAGACATTCGAGTGTGTACATATCGTACGAGAGAACAAAACTTATTGCAGTTCTTTTCATCTAAAGAAATAGTTGTATATTGCTGTATTGTCAGTGGTTTGCTGACATTCATGAGTTTGCCGTTTTATCAGTCCAATGAAAACTACTACAATAAATAAATAAACGAAGTATGAAAGCAGTTCTCCTAAAATGTGTAAAGAAATGTTATAAATTAACCCTTGGTTTCAAGAGAAAAAATCATTCTTCACAAAAATTTCCTGGTTTAAGTACTGAAAAACTAAAAGCAGGTTTCTTTATGAAAATACGTCAATTAATAAAAGATACCACAAAATTTGAGACTTCTATGAATGATGTAGTACGGCTTGCGTGGAAATCTTTTGTAGCAGTTGTATAGAATTTTCTCGGAAATCATAAGGCTGTGACAACTATGTAAAATTAGTAGAAGATATGCTGGTTCGATTCAACGATTTAAGCTGTAATATGAGTATGAAGTTTTCACTATCTCAACAGTAATCTAGATCAATTCCAACACAATTTAGGAGACCTAAGCGAAGAACAAGGAGAACGAGATTACCGAGACATAAAAACAATGGAGAACAGATACCAAGGAAGATGGGACACTCATATGATGGCCGACTACTGTAGGGGAATCATGCGAGATTGCCCAAGTCAATTTAATTCGAGAAAATCGCTCAAAAGACAATTTCTTGATGTTTAATGCCATAAAAATATATATTTATTGTAAAAAATGTTTTTTTATGTATCTCGAAAACTAGAGCTGATAGAAAAAAACTAATTACATTTTTGATTTCACCATGTAAGACATGCTTATAATCAGGTCTAAAATCCCCGGCACCAAAATGGTTGTAGGCCAGTATAATCGAACGGCAGTCGTAGGAATGCAGTCGTTGACACTTCTAATGATTACTTAATACTTTAATATCACA